CTCTGTTACAAAACAAATCAATAACCTTGCTTTGATTTGGGACCACAAAACGCATTTGTGTATTATGTGCCAAGGGTACCTGCTGCTGCATACACCTGTCACTATTCTGGATGACATGTGCCATAATATGTGAAACAGATTATCTGTAAATGTGTAATGACATTACAGTACCAAGCCGCAGGCGTGCATCTATGTATGTGTGCATGTCACTGTGTGTTTACAAACATACCTTTCCATTTGTATTTCACAATAGGGGTAGCGAACCTCAGGTAAGAAGCCAATTCCAGCCCCCTTGGGGTCCCCAGAACCCATGCCCAAGCTTCTGGTCCTTTGTACCTAACCGCATATCATTTGGTGATTTTCCAGCTCCCCACAATTCTAAAGGGTTGAAATGTCTTCCGTAAGACTGGCATGGAGAGCACTAAGCCAAAATGTGCAGGTATTTCTAGCCCACCTACTTTTTCCTTCTGCCCTGTCCACTTGTGGAATATAGCCCCACCAAGGACTTCTCTGAATTGGAAGTCAGCCCTCAAATGGAAAGAGAGTCATCATCCCTGCATTACAATATTTGTTTGTTATGTATACACTTGTGTAGATCTAGCAAAAGGTCTTAGGTCATGCCACATGAATTGAACACAATCATACTTCTTCAAGAACAGCAAGAATTTTCCATTTTCTCTCTGAGAAGACTGGAGAAATGGGACCATTTGATGTGTTGTTCATTCAGGCTCCACCAGCTCATGATCAGAGAAAACCTGAGGTTGCCTTCATAAGCCAGGCTGAGAAATTTAGGTCAGATTTTGCACTATGAGAAAGTGCAACATAAACCCATCGTTCTCCAACTGTATGGGTTTGGGCCCTTTAGCATGTCTGGAACACCTGGATGAATTCATCAGCTGAGGCAATTTGACTACAGTAGCCCGTCCCGACCTGGCATCCTTTTGTTGTTTTGGACTTCAGTTCCCAGTATTCCTGATCATTGGACACACTGGCTGGTGCTTATGGGAATTTTTCCAAAGTGCCTGGAGGGCCCCAGGTTCATAAGGATTGGTCTACAAGGAATTTCAAGTTCTGACTAAAATCTCCTCTGGGCAAAAGGGTGGTTTATTACATCAGCTAATTGAGAAAGCCTGAAAAGGACACTTAATAGAGGTCAAATTTTGTTTTGGATTCTTTTGCAGTATGGCCCAGTTGCTTAATGACCCTTGCAAATTTGAGGCCCAGCTAATGGGGAACTTAGATTTGAGACCAACCCTTCCTGATTTGTTGTCATTTACTAAAGAGAATGGGAAGGAAATAACGGTCTAGATAGTTAAGCTGCACTTGGCACTTAACTGTCTGGAAATTGAAAGAACAATGGGTATGCTTCACTACTGTTTTCCTGAAAGCTGACTCATCAGCCTGTTTTGAGTTAAATCTCTTAATTTATAGGCTACTGGAATCTGAAAACTAAGCGTGTGTGTGGAGAGGTGCCGAATTTGGGAGAGAGAGGTTTCTGATGCATGGTATTATCTTTTCCCTTCTCTGAGGAACCAAAACTGGTTTACATTAAAAGAACCCTGTGAGATAGGTTTGACAGAGTATCCATGATGAGCCAAAGTAACCCAGTGAGCATCACAGCTGAGAGGGCTAGAAGCCTGATCTCCTGAGTCTCAGTCCAGCACTCTATCCATTTCACGGGATTGGAACAGCTCTGAAGTCTAAGCTTGTTGCAGTCACCCTAAAGGGTGGGAAATGGTTAGAGGCTTCCCCTTTCTGACATTGCTCCATATATGAAATTAAACATGCCCATGCAAGCCAGAAATCTGCCTGAGGTAAGAGCTTTCTTACCTGGAATAGATGGACCTGGGCAAGGTTAATTTGGCCAAATTTCAGAACACCAGATAATTTCTGTCATAGGAGCCATTGAATAGACTCAAAATGAGGATTCAAACTCAAAAATCCTGGAATTGTCCAAACGCACAAGGAACAATTTATGGCCCTCCAAATGCTTTGACCTACACCTTCATGACTCTTAGCAAGCAAAGCCAGTGGTAAGAGATCATGGAAGTAGTAGAGTTGTGGGCCAAAACATCTGGAGAGCTACAAATTGTTGCAAGGAATACCAAAACTATATGAGGATGAAGCAAAATGGGTAGTGAGTGGCTAGATATCCTTGGGTATAGGGATGTAGGCACAAAGGCAGGAATAGATGTGGAGCAGCCTTTCTCAGTTTGAGACGGTTCAAATGTTTTGGAACTTCTGGCTTTTCTGATTTTTGGCAATAATAGCTAGGGCTAATGGGAGTTGCTGTCCAAAACTTAGGGAGGGCACCAAGTTGGAGAAGGCTGGTGCAGAAATTCATGTGACCATGGTTTCCCATTTAGTATCAGCATGATTAGGTTCCCATCCTCCCAGAAGATTAGTGTGTGAATTGGTCTTGTTAATGGCTTAAGTGTAACATCTGGTGCCATCACATCCCAGCCCTTTCATAAGGAGGTTTGAGGGCAGAGAAGTGGTTAAGTTGGTACCATGTGTGTGTTTACCCTTGAGTTCTGAGCTGAAGCTGGAAATCTAAATTCTGTATCCAGTTCCTAAACTAGCCTTCATGTTTGTGGGACCCGATCAGGCTAGTGCCTGCAGCTTTCTTTCAGGAGCACCCACATCTTTTAAAGCTGCCCAGCTGTTTGCCTCTTCTGCCAGCTTCTTTGCATGTCTGGGAGAGAGCTCTGGCTGCCCAGTTTAATTAGTTCACCCTGAAACTGGGCAAGGAGGACACAGCTGGCAATATACTCCCTGTTGGGGTACTTGCCCATTTCAGCTCTTGGGAGGCTAACTCTACCTGGCTTCTCCTGCTGCTGAACAATGTGTTTTGACAGCAAACGTGGCCAAAAGCTGTTTGAATTAAGTTGATCTCGATTCTTAAGATCTTTATCCAGGCTCAGCTCATCAGCACTGAGGCTGCATTTAGACAAGTGCCAGGTAATGAGAACAGCCGTGAAGTGCAAGTCTGCTTGAGGGCCTAATTACACCTATACTTATGCTTTTTTCCTTCATCACTTCCTTCTACCCATCAGATGATGATTAGACCTATTTATAGGGGCAGCGTTTCTTATTATTCAGTGCAGTGAAACTCTTGCCAATCAAATCAGTACCATCTGCATTTTTGATTGCTGTTTAATAACAGCACGGAACATGGATTAATTAAAGCAGGTTATAAATAGATTTTATCCCCCTCCCCAAGACACACCTTACTTTGACTTACCTAGGTGGCTGCCATCTACTTGCTTATTCTAAATGTATGCAATTTGAAGGTTGCTTGACTTGGAGACTGCCATATCTCCACTCGTTAGTTCTGTAAATCAGTTTATCCTGCACACACTCAAGATTTATCTATCTGATTTGTGCTCCGTTGGAACAGAATGCATAATGCTTTTCCCAGTGGATACAAATACATACAACAGAACTAACAATCTGCAGGACAATGCAGATAAGATTTGGCAGAATAGCAATGTAGAGTCAGAAGTATTTGCACGTTCAGAAATTATGTGCTAATGTTAATTCTTTAATACTTAAAGAGCTCCAGGGAATAAGAAAGTATGGCTGTTCTAAGGAAAATTGTCCAATATAATCAGATTCTTTCTGTTTATCTGTGAACTGTATAAATTGGGGTGCTGTCACTGCCACCAAATGTGAAAATGTTACCTGCCTGTGGGCTTTTATCTCATCGGAGCATCCCAAACTGTGATGGATCTGGCTCACCAGATCTTGGATTGTACTATAAAATTTAATTCTTTAACCTCTTAAATACCTCTGCTCTTATTTTTTTTAAAGGAAACAATCCAATAAAGCCTTACCCTTAGTATACCATCAGTATTATAGTAGGAGGATAGTGGGCTCTCGGCAAAGGATGAAGTAATTCTCATGCAAGTAAAATGACTTTTGGAGTGAGAAATCCCTGATGTTCAAATTGGATTCCCAAAAGGAAGAGGCACTTAAGATCCTCTTGCAAATATATGTTGGCTATTGGAGCACACCAAATTATTTCAGAGGAAGATCAATCTATGCTTTGACTTTCCCGAGCACTATTGCCTTCTCTGGCGTATTTCTCTTCCCTGTCATTGCAGAGCTCCAGTCTGTCCTTTTGAATTGAAGCATTCAGCACTCCTGTCTTATTTGATGATGGCACTGCCAGGTCCTATGACCCTGCAGTCTGATGTTCTCTTTATCACTTCTTAGCAGAAGGGAAGATATTCCAGATCCAGGAGAAAGTAGTATAATAAGAGGTCCAAAAATGCAAACAATTCAGCAGGTACCCTCTTGGCAGTGAAGGCCCAAATGCTTTCTAATTATCTTGCCTGCATGCCTTAACCTTTGATAAGAAGCGAGACATACTTTGACTTCCAGAGATACGGTTCCAGAGGATCAGAGCTGAGCATTAGAGCTGCCAGTCTCAAGCACTGCTTCATACCACTGCTCTGACTTTTTTCAGGCACTCACTGGAAAATGAGGGGTTGTATCCTTTACAAAGTCCTCTGTGGTCACCTCTTGCCTCTAGATCCCCAAATTTTAATGCTGCTACTGAAGATGGGGATATCAGTGAGTTCTGAATTCCATGTTACTGTGACTAGTAACTGTTAGAGGTGTTTGTATTAATTTGTATTAATTAGTGTGCTGATGGACAACATCAAATACTCTCCCAAATAAAATCATCTTTAGGACTTTAGAAAAACTTGCATAGCTCCTGTAGCTGTTCAGTTATTCACATGGGCTAACAGGACAGTCCAAGAGGTCCTGCAGGAGATGGGCTTGAGAATAACTTAAAGCTACTAAGTTTAAAGAACCTCTTGCTACAATCTCTGGATTGCAATACATTGCGCCCCTATGCTTCAATTTTAAAGCAGAATTTAAGCAACTCACAGTCAAGGAATAAGTTAGAAAGTCAGGTTCCTGGAATCAAGGGGCTGGTGTAGGGGGCAGAATACATTTCATTTTTAACTAGCTGTTGATTGTCTCCTCAGGCAAAAATGGCTGCTAAAACCCAGAAGTATTTCCTGGAAGGACAGGCATACTCAGTTCCTCTCATCCAGCCCGACCTCCGTAGGGAAGAAGCTATTCATCAGATAGCAGATGCACTACAGTATCTGCAGAAAGTCTCAAATGATATCTTCAACAGGTATGGTTTGATTATACCGGGAGTTCAGAAGTGGATCCCCACGTTGAGTGGTGGCATGTGTGCTGGCTGTCCTCCTCCCGCTCCTTCCAAGCAGAGGGGAGGGCTTTCAGATTAAAATACTTTATTATGGTAAAGCTGACTGGCTAGGCTGTGTTTGTAGTACAAAGAAGACTATTACAGAAGTCAGTAACAAAAGGAACAAGCAAAGTTACGAAACTGCTGGCCATTACAGAAATATCTTAATGAGAAGTGAAATTTCACACCCAATACCTCTCCTCTCTTCCAAGCTGAAAAGAGCAGACCATACTTCTTTCTGGTTTTAGAGCCAATCACTTGGAGAATCTGGGGGTTTTCAACCATATGCTTTGGTTAATGAAGTTAGGTCTGCCTCCCTTCGCCATTAACGTGCTTGGGAAAGCTTTCCACAGAACTGGAAACTCTAGTTCTCAACAACTGCCTGGTTTAGCTCCAGGTCTATTGCCCTTAGCATTTCAACTGCAGGTTCTGGCCCCACCTCTTTGTCTGACTCTGTACCTGATTCCACAGCCCTTGAAAGCTCTTTTATAGGAGGATAATCTATACAAAACCCTACAGCATGCTTTGATTCTTTTTGTTTTCATGTCCCATTCAGTTTTCCAGCCTTGGGACTCCTGATGGCTCAAGGGATGGAACTAGCCAATTAAAATTCCACCTCAGACTTGCCCTCCCTTTGCTGGCACAATAGTCAAGTGTAAAAGTAGCAGCTCAGTGACTCCAGACGCCCCTGTGCCCAAGCAGAGGATATCCTTGCCTAGTAAATTAAGCATTGGGCACTTCCTCTCCTCAGACAGGTGATCAAAATATCATCTCCTAGGAACTCTGCCAGCATTGCTAATCTCCTGAAAACATCTCCCACACACCCCTTGCTATGCAGGAAAGAATCCAGCCTTGTATTTTGCCCAAAATTGTGATGCTATCCAAGACTTCGTGTAATCTTCTAGTCTTGCGTGGCCTTGGCCCAGCATTGCTTGGGGGCGGGGGGGGGGGCGGGGTGGTGTGCCCTCCACTAGTCAAGATGGTCTGAGCAAGGCCTGCTCTGCAGCTGGGTACTTGTAGTGAGGAAGAAGGCCTTAAGAGCAGCCCTCTCCAGTTTGACACAATCTCCTTTTGTTCCTCCTCCGCAGCTTTTAGGGGTTACGCAAAGCCTACATTTCTTGTATGGATGAGGCTATATTAATGTGCAAGGCTGCCGTTATATTGTGGAAACGTGCTTTTCTGATGTTGCCAACTGTTAGGTTAGCCTTTCCTAACCTGGTGCCCTCTAGATGTGGCACACTGCCACATCTCTTGTTCTCAGTCCACATAGCTGTGGTTGCTGGGAATAACCAGAGCAGCAGCCCCACCTCGCTGGAAGGCACCAGGCGAGGGAAGGCTGCTTTTAAGTGTTTTAGCAGGTATTGCAGCTGCTGGGCATTTTTTTTCTCCTTGCTGCCTTGAGAATGTAAAAAGGTCTGATACAAAGGGTTTGTACTGTTCTTTTCCCCTTTCTGGAAGGTTGGCATGGCTATTCAGAGGCTCAGTTACTGGCAGAAAATGTTTTAACCTAGAGTGGATTGGCACTTTTAACTCTACCCCTTTTCCTTGGGCTCCCACCTACTGCCAGGATATGGCCAGGGGAAGGTGGGAGCGCCTGTGTCAGTGGGGCTCCCTGACCCTTGCAGCTTTTCCTTGAGCTTCACAGGAGCGACCCAGGTTGCTGAGTGCCCCCAAAATGGTTTCACCACCATGGGGCACCATGGATAGCTCCTCCAAAACTGAAACGGCTGTGGTTCTTCCCCTGAATGTGGCTTCTGAGGGCTTCTCCAAAACGGAATTCATCCCTCAGGCTGAAAACCGTTCAACACCCTGCCATATTGGTCCCATGTGTTCATCACTGTGGAAGAACCAGGCCAGTGTCACCTGTATAAGCAGCATTAGCATGCTAGGAATCTGTGACCTATGAGTGCACCACAGTGACTGTAAGTCTCCATGAATACATGGAAGCCTTTTAAAAGGTGCCTAGTGCCCCACTCAGATCAATCTGTTGCAGGTGTGTTTCTGTAACATGCAAGGGGAGGTGAGCCCATCTCACAGAACATGCTCAGGACACTCTGCTTTCTGCTGTCATGGCTTTCCTCTCTTCATCTGCTGTTCTGGGGAAATTGGATGTGTAATAAGCTCATTGCTGTGATTCAGAAGAATGGGAAGTGAGACTTAAATATCTTAAGCAAATTATGTGGAGGTTTAAAACACACGTACCTGCATGGACACACACAACTACAGTTAGCTTTGTGATAAGAACTAGTGTGGGATGTGGATTTTAGTCCCTCTCAGCATGGAGCTAACTGGGTGACTTTGGGCCAGTTGCACACTCAACCTAACCTGCCTTACAGGGTGGTTGTTGTAAGGATAAAGTTGAGAGGATAAGATCATCTTGAGTCCTTTGAGAGGAAAAACTGGGATATAAATATAATAATAAAAATTAGTACATGTCCAAAACAAGTAGTAATTAATTCCATGTCAGTCCCACTGAACATGGATGTAGAGGCAGATGCAACTGGGTGTAAGATAATGTCTTACATGTAGATATAAAATAATCTATCTGCTTTGTTTAAGCATTTGCTTAACTCATCTTTGTTCTTGTTTGTTTTTTTTAAGTACCACCCCAGATGCTCTACTGTGTGTGCTCTTAGGATGGGTATGCCTGGTAGACACCAATGCTTGCAGTGAAAGTTAGAGGCATGTCCTAAAGGCACATATACTTCCTTCCTTAAATTATCTTATTTATCATGGACATGAGAATATGAGCCAAGGTAGACCAAAATTTCTGTATATTATACCTTTCTATCCTCTTGGCATTCCTGTCACATTCAAATCTTGGAATGCCAACCGTGGCGCTACTTCCTCACTCTTGAGTGCACTTATGCCTTGTAATTACTAATTCTTTTCCACAACAGAAGAGACTCCATCAGGCCTTTTGTTTGCTTTGCTTTTCCTTGGAGCTCTCTGATATAATTAATAATGATTTGGTAATTATGCAGGCGTCTGATTAAAAGTTCCACAACCTTGGGTGTTCCATGCCAATCAGAGAAGAAGCTTTCAAGGTGAGAATCTCACCACTTAGCAGAGAATGACCTTTTTCTTTCTGGTTTCTTGAGATAAGGTGCCTAGATCTCATATTTTCAGGAAAGCTGTAGCTTATCGGGGAGTAGTATTCAACTTTGAGCCTTCAAAGAGAGAATTTGCTGGGGTTATGGATAGAAATGACTCTGGCACAGTGTGTGCAGTGAATGTGTCAAAAGAACTGTGAGCCTAAATATCAGACAGACAGGAGATCTCATTAGGACAAATGTAAAAGGAGAGATTCTTTTCCTGTCCGAAAGGTTTGCCTACAATGCAGGACTCTGTGCTGAAGCTTCAACTCTGCCAGGAGTGCAGAAAGTGCACAGAAGTTGGCATCCCAAGGCTTCTGACTTACTTTCTGAAAACAAAGTTTCTAGGTCTTACGGTTTTACAGATTTTCTTGAAAATGTGTGTGATATCTTAGGCACAAGGGAAGTTCTTGACTAAGAATCCGGGGTGAGGGTGCAGGACAAAGGTGCCTATATAGTTTCTTGCCTCTGCCCAGGACCAGTGTCTTGCTGCCACTGTGCTATAAACTACCGGCCCCGTGGTCTACTGAATAATGATGCAGAACTGCAAGAATTTTGATTTGCTTTTGTTAAAGCATTTGAGTGCAGACAATGAGAATGAGATTCAATAGGGAAAAATGCCAAGTCCCCCACCTAGGACAAAGATTCCCAATATATCAATACAAGATGGAGAATATGTAGCTCAGCAGAACTGAAAAAGAAAAAGAACTTGAAAATATTGTGAAAAGCAGACAAAATATGAGCCAACAATGCAATGCAGCTGCAAAAAAGGCAAATGCTATTTTGGGATGCATTAACAGAAGCACTACTTGCAAATTATGAGAAGTAGTACTTCCCCTGTACTCCTCACTAGTCACACCTCACCTGGAGTATGTCCAGTTCTGGGCACTAAGATTTAAAAAAGTTGCAGGTAAATTAGAAAGGAGGAGGGCAACAAACATGATCCAGGGTTTGGAAACACTGCCCTCTGAGGAGAGACTGAGAGAACTGGGCATGTTCAACCTTGAGAAGAGAAGACCTGGGGGGGGGGGGGGGGGGGGGAACAACATGATACAACACTGTAAGTACTTCAAAGGCTGTCACAGAGAGGAAGGTCAAGATCTCTTCTCATTGATACCAGAGTGCAGGACACAGAATAACTCAAGTAGCGACAGCCTAGATTCAGGCTCGATATCAGGAAAGGTTTTCTCACTGTCAGAGCAATACGACAGTGGACCCAGTTGGCTTGAGATGTCATGGGCTCTCTCACACTAGAGCTATTCAAGGTGCTGACCTTCAACTCTACTATACTATGATTCTATGAATCTTGCTCATATGTCTAAGAATGACCAGTTCAGCATAGGTCAGAGTAAAAACCTGGGCATTAGATATCAAGTTTTACTTGCGCTTGCAAAATGGGTACTGCTTGTTCCATTCGCATATACAAAGTGACAGGAAATTGAAGATAGAGTGGTAGGTTAGAGCATCATTATCAAGTACTGGACAACTCCAAAACATTTTGAAGCAAGGCATAGAGAACCACCACCAATAAAGGCACAGGTATCTGCTGGTTTACTCTACATTATCAAGAGGTACATTGTCTTGAGAGCTTCTGCAGAGCTCGCAATACTAATCTTAGCCAGTCCATATAAACAGTGAGATTCCCATTTCTGAGTAGCAGTAAATTAACTAATGTCCCCAATAGCATGCTAAGTGCATGAATTTGCTCAGAGTGGGTAGCAAGCCAGATTCTATACGCCTTCTTTTAAAGCACCTTTTAACATCAGAAAAACTAATTTCTTGCTTGTGTAAATTCCATGCCATGATAAATTCACTATTCTTTAAGGTACC